ATATATAAATATACAGATTTTTAATTTTTTTTTATATAGTCTAGGGGGGTCAAGAGTTACTATATGGGGGTACATAACATTATTTATGGATGCCCCCTAATGATCATAAAAGTAATGATAAGCTTACCAGTCAAGAAAAGTTTATAAATCTTCATTTTAAACCTGTAAATATATATATTTTATTATTATATTATTGCTTTAATACTTTATACTTATCCAACTTTTTTTTTAGTTAAGTCAAATTAATATTGATGAGAATAATGAGATTGAAGAGTCTTTAGGAGAGTTTTTTTCTCAACAAATATCTGTTGCTTCAATTACTTGTGATAGAATATCTAAAAAGGGTTCTAGAACACTGTCAATACCCAATACTGCTTTTGAACAGATATCAAATTTATGTATAGGAATACAGTTTGAATACTAGGACTATATAAATTTAGTTTTATTGACATATAGTCAAAAGGAAGATTTTGCATAACAAATTCAAGATAAAAAACTTGACAAAAATAGTGGTATTTACAAGTATTGTTTTGAATACCAATATACTAGAAATTTTAAATCTAAAAAAACAAAAAATAAGTCTTTATAACAATATAACCGAAAGTCTGTTAAAACAAACTGCATATGTTTTATTAATATATACTAGCTATTGGGTTTTCTGGGTCTGTCTATTACTAAATTAAACTTTACCCACTATAGTCATACATTAAATCTTGATAATACATATTTTATCAATATATATAATCAGATTTCTCAACATATAATAGATAAAATTAGATTTTATATAAATACTATTTATAGAATTAGCTAGCATACATTAAGGCAACTCTTGCAAAATGAATTTGAGGATTATCTATTTTTAGATAAGGACTTAGTCAATACAATTCAGCATTTTAGAAAGAGTGATATAACTGATTCAAAAAGAGATCCTGAAAATGATACATCTAATCTTTTAAAAATATTAAGAATATTAAAAAAAGAAGACCCTACATGGTTTATAGAGAATTATTGTATTAAAAACTGTCTTTTCCATTTATTTTGAATGACACCACACCAGAAAAGTTTTTATTTAAGATATCATAATGTAATTTTAACAGACAATACAGCGCGAACAAACAAATATCGATTAGCATTATGTTTGTTTGTAGATGTTGATAAGTATCGATATTTAAGACTATTAGCATAGACACTGATGTCTAATGAAATGATATCATCATAATTTGGATTCTCAATAATCTTATAGCAGCAGTAGATAATTTATCTCTATCAACAATATTTTCTAATTGTAATACTGGACTAGGACTAGCAATTGAAGCAACTTTTCCAACTATACAATATCTATATTGTATTTTTCATATTATGCAGAACATTAAAAAATAGTTAACATATTTTTTTGGCTTACAATATACTGAATTTTAGAAAAATTTTTTATTTTGCTAAAATATATTGTTTGAAGAAGTGTTTGAAATATAATTTGAATCGTTATATAAAAATTATCTTGAAGCATTATTATATTTAAAAAACAATTTTTATCCAATTAAAACACAATAAGCTAAATGTTTTACTTTTAAAATAAAATTAAAGTAAAGTTAGAATTAGATTAAAGTTAGAGTGAGGTTAAGATTAGATTAAAGATTAGGGTGAGGTTGTGTTAGATTAGAGGTTAGAGTAAGGATGATATTAGGTTAGAAGTTAAGGTTAAAGTGAGTTTAGATTAGAGATTAGGTGTAACTATACTAACAACCATGTTTATTACTAAAGACAATAACTAGATTTTTCTTAGAAATAGCAAGTTAGTATCTTTATTACTTTATGCTTCCTTTTTATATTCTCTAATAGACTATTACTAACTATTATTAATTACATTATTCTTTATACGCATTATAATAAACTATAACCCTGTATTAATTAATTAATTAATTTCTGAGTACATGATCACGATCAATAATCATGATCATATCACATGAATACAACAAGCATGATACATATTATTTCTAATTTTTTCTAGTTTACCTTTGCTGTATACATTATTAATTAATTCTTTATTTATCTAGATTACGATTGATCTCTGTTTTTTGTGCGCTATTGCTATCAAAGCTATTACAACCCAGTCGATCGTTATAGTGCAGATTTGGCTTGTTACACTCTTCTTCATCTAAATCAAAGCACTCTATTTTGACATCTTCCCCATCTGCCACTTTCTCATTACCCAACCCATTGCTTGACTTGTATCACTTAACCAGCTCTATGACATTTTTTAAATTTGATAGTGGTTCTTAAGTTGCTTCATGAAGAGGGTACCCCTTCTACTTAATCAAATATTACGGTTTTCAGTAATAAGTTCATTTGTCCAGTACTTCCTCGATCTCAAATTCTGGCTCAGGGTTCGAATCTGCAAAGATTTTAGGTGGTGGTGGTAGCTCTTTTTTTTTCTTCAAACTTATTAGAAATGTATTGTTTCAGCAAGAAGATATGAAATACAGGATATATACTCATATTTAAAGACAGAGCTAGCTTGTATGCTGTTGTTGATACTTTTTTTTGAACTTTATAAAGCCCAATAAATTTCAGAACCAATTTTCTTGATACTCTTTTCAAATCCTTCCTGGAATTCTAAGTCTTTATAGCTCTTATTGTAATATTTTGTCCGCTTTTTTTGAACCAAGATTAAAGTATCTTTTGTTATTTTTATCATTGCTATCTAGTGCTTATACAGTTCTTGGGCTGCCTTTATCTTCCTATTCTTTAGAGTTTTTACTACCAAACTACTAGAGATTAAAGGTTAGTGATTGTAATCAAGTTGGAATAGAGTGAGACCAGTTGATGATTGTTAGACGTTATTATATGCAAATTCTATAGCTGACAACAATTTTTTTATCTTGACAGTAGTTGATATAAATTTATAGCATATTCTCTAATATTCTATTAACCCGTTCTGTTTGTCTGTCTGTTTGTAGATATGCTGTTAATGATATATATAACCTAGTATCTAACAATCAAAATAGTTCTTTTTAAAAATTGCTTACAAATTTTGAATCTCTGTCTGATACTATACTATGTGATAATCTGTAATTCTTAAAAACTTCATAAAAATACAATTTCACTATTTCTGGTATTATAACTATTAAATGAGTTAGAATAAAATATGCTCTTTTACTAAACCTATCTATCACGACTATAATGATATTATACTCTTCATTAGTAAGTGATAAGTGAGTCACAAAATCTATAGAAACTTGTTCCTAAGATTGTTTTAGAATATCCAATAGTTGCAATAACCTGATAGATCTTTGATTGGATATTTTGTTTCATTGACAATCCTTACAACTACTCACATATTTTCTTATATCTTTTTCTATTTTCTTCTAATAGAATAACTGCTGCAAACTATTATATATATAATCTACACCAGGATATCTATTTAAATTATGATATTCGTATATTACTATCACTTTTAATTTTAATATATGGCTTAAACACAATTGTAGATTTTCTGGATCTTCTACCATATAAAGTAATTTATCATCCAATTTATACTATCATGTTTGATATTTTAGACGTTTGACAATATCACTATCTGAAGCCTTAATGCTATAATTACTTGTAATAAATATTTGTCTTTCAAATTTTCTTCTTGAATTACTTTGTAAAATTTAGAATTAGTCTCAATGGTTGATACTATATTAACTTCTAGCTTTTGAGATAATGTGTCAACAACTAGTTTTGCTTTTTCAAGCCTGTATTTAATTTTGAAATTATATGACTATAATGTTTTTACCCATCTGGCTTGTCTACATGATAGCTTTGCTTGAGTATTTATATATTCAAGTAATGCATGATCTGTAATTACTGTAAACAATCTACTCTCTAAATAAACTTTTCATATTTTTAAAGTATGAATTATAGCTAAAAGTTCTTTTTCATGAATAGGGTAGTTAGTTTTGGCAAATATTATCTTTCTTGATTTATACACTATTGATTGTTCACTATTCTCTGATCCTGACTTAATACAGCATCTATAGTGAAATTAGAGGCATCAGTTGTAACTACAAATAGTTTTTTAGAATTAGATATTGCTAATGCTAGAGCACTAATAAGTGTATCTTTTAATTCTTTGAATGCTTTGTCTTGTTTAAATTTTTATTTATATAGACGATCTTTATGTAATAAAAATATAAGAGGTGTTGCTATTTTTAAACTATTAGCTATAAACTTCTGATAATAGTTCACTAATTCTAAAAATGAATAAAGCTTATATATATTTTGAGGTGCATTTTATGTCTTAATTGTTTTATTTTCTTTGAGTCTATTATAATTCCTTTTGAAGACACTATATGACCCAAAAATTTCACACTAGTCTTTTCAAACTTACATTTATCAATTTTTCTATATAATCAATTTTTTTGGAATATCTCTGATCCTAACTCATGTGTTTCATATGATCTTTCTGTGACTTACTGTAAACTAAGATATCATCAAGAAAATTATTACAGATTTATCTAAAAAGTTGTGAAACACATTATTTATTAAATACATAAAAGAAGCTAATACATTTGTCAAACCAAACAGCATTACAAAAAATTCATAATACAGTAATACATACGAAATGCTGTCTTGAGAATATCTTCTTCTTTAATATGTATTTGATGATACCCGAAATACAAATCAATTTTACTAAAAATTTTGGCTCTAGTAAGCTGGTTTAATAGATCATCCACATAAGGAAAAGAGTATTGATTTTTAATGATAACTTTATTTAGTGCTCTATAGTCTATATACATACAGAGAGCACCTTTCTTCTTTGCTATGAAAAGTATTGGGGCTCCATAAAAAGATGAACTTGAGTGAATTATCTTTTTTAATGTTCTTCTCAAGTTGCCTTTTTAATTCTTTTAATTTATGAAATAATAATCTATAAATGGGGCCAAATGGGAGTATTACACCTTCTTGAAGCATAATTCTATGATCTATGATTTTTTTAGGGAGTAATCTATTCGGTAATTCTTTTAAAAAAACATTCTGATACTTATTTACCACTTCTTTTAAAAATATGAGAATATTTGATTCTGTTTGATCTTTTGTCTCTGATGTATCTAAAGTCATTATTACAATAATTCTGTATTGTTTTTGACCTTCTTTACTAATTGTAACTATGAAATCGTTGTTATAGGAGGTTTAACTTGCTTTCTATCAGCTCTAGTACTAATTCTATAGACTTTTTGGTTTTTTTCATATCGATATTTCATTCATTTTTTAATTTATTTGGAGGTTATAATTATACAACCATGGTTTCTCTAAAATTGCATTATACTTTTGTAACAGTAAGACTTCTATATGGGTCTACATTCCTTCTATAAATACATTTAAATTTCTATATTTGATATATACTCATATGACTCACAGAGTGTTCTATTAGCTAACTTT